AGGGAATAATTCGTTTAATAAATTTATAACACGTCTCCCATTATGAGGTGGTGCACCGTCTTGTTGCCACCATAGTTGACGTAATCCTTCCAAAGGTTCTTCCATTAAGGAATCCAATATATTGGTCCTTATTAATTCTGCATATCTATCGGAATTTAAGTTTCCTTCAAGAAAAAACGGGCCGATAATTTTATTGTGCCACATACCGACCCATACGTGAAATGATTGTCGTCCCTGAGGTCTTACTTCTTGATTCTGCCTTGGGTTTTCTATTGACCAATAGTGTTCGTTATGTCTATTAAATAGTCCATCTGTTGAAAAACTGCATTCATCTGTCCATATAGTTTTATTTAGGAAGTCGTCATTTTCATTAATTCTATTTTGCAACCAGTTACAAAATTGTAATCGTCTCTCAGCATCGCCCGGTCTTAGCGTTTGACTAATATGAATTTTGTAAGGTTTATATCCACGCTTATTTAAAGTTCTCCAAACTCTCATTCGCGGTAATCCTACTTCTTCTGCGAAAACTCTAACCGAAGCTCGGGGATTATTATTGGCCTTAAAAAATAATTTAAAATTATTCATTTTACTTTCTACTTTGTAATAGTTTTCAAACTCACAGTGTTCAAGATAATTTGTTCCTCTTCTGGATCGATTCGTCTTCCATATTCAACTCTTGGCTTAACAAAACTTCCGTACTGAGCTAAATTATTATCAATATTAGCAAAATAACTATAATGCGGCTGCCGTCTCTCTGGATATTCCAACAAATAGCGCTCACAAGCCGTTTTTGAATTTCGATTCGAAATATAATAAATCCTTATCATGTCTCGTTTTTCTTCGTTAGAAAAAGTCATTTTGGTTTAATAAGCGTTAACGGTTAGTGAACGCACAGTGAACTGTCAAAATATTGGATAATTTAAACATTAACAAATGAACTAAGATAGCCGAAGTGCACGATGCACCGCCACTTTGATAAAATGCAATTATTTTTGTAAATATAGCCTAGGGCCTACAGTTTGAGGGATGACACTTTAATTACATTATTTATTAACCACCCACTTTTATGTTAGTTTTTCAGTTTTATGCAATGCGCTATTGCAAAAAAAGTTTGTTTTTAATCCTATTAAACATCTAATTTTTGTCTCTCTCTAACACATGAGTTCTTATGGAAAATGCTATTAATATAAACTTTTTTGAATAAGTGCGATACATCATTAGTTTTGGGACATTAATAGCTTTTGAAATCCATAATAAAAAATCCAGGGCCGTATTTAAAAAAACAAAGTTGATGATGGCAGCTCAATGACGAAACTTTGGTTCGAAAATCTGATAACACCATCTCGTAGAACAGAAAAAGTAGCAATGAGAATGTGTAATTTGTTTTGTTATATCTATTCAAACAGAGTCATAAAAAAATAAAAATGAAATTGCAAATATTCGGTTTTTTCCAAAAATCTCCGGAAGTATTCGGCCTATTTCAAATTTCAAAACGGCGTTTTGATGAGCACCAAATTGCGCAACTTTGCCTCCATTTAACCGACCTCGTATCTCTTCTAGTTTCCGAGATCCCAATGATAAGGCTCGAATTTGGGACACCCTGTATAGACAATATCTCAATTATTTAAATTCCGTCATAAGTTTCTTGATTCAGAACAGAATTCAATATTCAGGGATTACAGAATTTATACAAAATCATATATTTCGTCTGGAGAACGTTTTGTTCGATTGAGTTTCAATTCTTATTTGCTCTAGTTTGCGAATTTGAACAATGTTTCATTATCTCTAATGATAACAATATTAACAATAAAGGACAACATATTCGGGTAACACTGTATGGCTAGAATGGTAGTTTATGTTTGTAGTTGATATAATTATCGTATTTTAGCCCTGAAAATTCCAATTCAATGACCCAAAAATGCTCAAATATCAGACGTGGAAACACACACGAAGAAAGAAATGTTAATCGAATCAACAATATATTTCGTCCTACATTCAATATTTTCGTAAGTCTGGCAACCCTTTTATCACTTGATCACATCAATCGATTATTTGTGATGTGTTTAACTAACATGGTATTAATTTCGGGAATTTGGAACTATTTAGTTTTTTCAATGAATCGTTTCTTTCCGTTCGCTATTTTAATGAACAGACGGATATGCTGCTGTATTCTAGAGTATTATGATTTCATATTATCGAAGTCGATGTGGTCAATCTTAGAAAATAAACAATAACCAAGCATCATTTATAAATAATGATGTGAAACACTCCAGATTACGTAAAAATGAGAACAAATATAATACATAATTCCGATGGTTTCTCTCGTCTCCGCGAAATCAATGTTGGTAATTCATTCAACTCGAGTTGCAATTTAGAATTCGTCTACCTTACGACATGTGAATTTGTCAGAATGGAATTTGCATTCAGTAAAATCATGAACGTGAGTCAACTAGCTCGGTATCTCAAAGTGACCTAATTATTACCTTGACTGTTTGAAATTTATTCAATTTGTGAAAAAGTGGTGAAAGCTTGATCCAATATGATTTTTGCATTCATCATATATCTTCTTGGCATGATTTCGAGATGATACGATTGTTCCAATTCTCATAAACTAGCAAAATTTATTTCCAAAACATATAATTCTTGAAATAGTGAGGACATCTATTCTTTCTATGTATGATAATTATATTATTATTCTAGTTAGCCTACCGACAATTACCACGATTCCTCCCACTGGACCACAGGAGATAGGGTTCAACATTTTGAATTTTATTGAAAAAACCGAGAACAAACTAATTATTGATTGCCAATTTATTTCACACGAAACCCCCTGTTTCAATTATTCTGATGAATGTTAACTGAAACAGATACCAATTTTGAATAGAATCGGATCATAGTAATTACAAAACTTGTCCGCCATATTGAATCCGTCATCTTGAATATCCTTATTTGTACGAAAGAATCATAATCTTCGACTACGAAAATCGCTAGATACCAATTCTGTGAATAGAATCTGATCTCAATTATTAACATCGTCCGCTATATTGGAATCGCCATATTGAATCCGCCATCTTGAATTTTCTAATTTTGACGAAGGAATCATCATCTCCGACCCCAAAAATCATCACATATACAAATTTTGAATAGAATCGGATCAATTCGCCATATTGGATCTGCCATCTTCAATTTCCTAATTTCGACAAATTTTAATAATTATCATCCTATTCTGGACTACGTTCTTGAGTCGTGTAACTGATACAATTTCCACTTCCTTTTATACAGGGTGTCCCGAAATAACATGTAAAGATTTCAACTATAGAAAAAAGTTCATATAAAAAGAGCCCAGAAATGCCTTCCTGGAGGAAATTTTGATCAGGGCGTCTGAAATAGGTGCGGCTTGAAGCACTTCTCTCCCCAATATTTTGTTTATGAAATTTCTTGCAGTTTGACCAGAAAATATGGAATTATTATGATTTTTGTTTGAAAATAGTACTCCTGTTTAGTTTCGAGAGTATTTTATTATTTCAGGAGTCTACAGCAAAGTAATAATCGTACTTTTTCTTAATAGGGTACCTACTATATTATTTTCATTGTACCTGCATATCTTTGATCAAACATCGAGAATAGATGTTGAAAGAATCGGTATTTTTCATCAAACCATAATTTTTAGGAAAATTCAGTACTTATACCCTATTGAGAACCACCAACAATTGAATAACCACATACGGTTAGATTGATTGGAAATGACCCTTCCTACCACCCCACTTCTTTTGATCCATGACTGATGGGACACCTTTTAGATAAGATTACCAAATTGATTCATCGTCTGAACTTCGCAAATATTGTATTTAAACCTATTAAAATGGGAAAATGACATAAATCTCACTATCAAATGCACTATGGTCATATGTACAATGTACATGGATCTGAACAACTTACTCCAATAACTGTAAATTTGGAAGGACATGTTCGATAGTTTTGAAAACCAATTGAAATCTTCTCTAATTCCTTTTGTCAATAATCGGCTGGAAAATGTATCTTCCCAGTTGTATAAGTTGAATTATTGAAGAAAAAAAAAAGATTCCTCAATTCAAAATAAAACTGTTATCTGTTATCATATCTGTATGCGATAACGTGGGTAAACCATCATATCACTCGATCCAAAGTGAAGAATGACGGTTTCCAAATGCTACTTTCCATCGTCTAATTTGATTCACTGTTCACATCAGCACAAAATGCTGATGTTTCAGTCTCAACATATTTCAATTCGTACAGTGTAGCTATCGATAAGTGATGGCACCATTTGGTTAACCTTTCATAATATAATACTCACCAGCCGACTCTTATTCTGAAAGCCATGTGAACCGTAAATTGCTTGATAGCAACATGAGAAGACATTATTCTAATGTAACTTCTGCTATCCAACAGATAAAACGTGTTAAGTAATGGATTTGGCAACATCGCGAATAGTTAGATAAATTCTTATACAACCATTGACCCACTTCTCTCCTTGGCTCGATCGAGCAGCGTTCACAACATCACAGATTGGCGAACCTTCGGCAAACTTGATTGAGATTTCGATCAAATGAAACGAGAAGTCCATGCGTATTGAAGTCAGTACACTGCCTGACTCGTCACCGTAAATATGATCTGCTTACAATTTTTCAGAATATTCTAGCACTAAACCACCTTCAGTGAATCATGTCAGATGTGTAACTGGCAATATTTCCACCATTATGAAAGATGAAAATTCACAATTTCGAATTCGATTACTACCTACTATATAAACTAATGAAGAACAAAGGCATTCTCATTTCTTCACCTGCTAGGATAAGAATCAAATATCAATTTCAGATGATATGAGGCATATGAAATTTTAAGTTGGTATTTGGTATGGATTGAAAAAAACCCTATCGTTGATTTTATCTACGAATTCTGGGACCACTTGTTCATTATACGATAACATCATTTTATAAAATGTCTTCTTTTTTTTCAGGATAATGCTGATCCATGTAAGGGCGGCCATATTGGTCGTCTCATTAGCCATATTTAAAGGAACCTTAGCTCAGGTGAGTTTTATCATATTATCGGTTGAAATACTGTTTCATTCTACATTCAATGGTATATCTTCTAATGGGTCCCTGGGCACTTAGGGATACCTGATGGTGATGAATCGATCCTGGAGCAGGATCCTGAAGAAACAGTTTTAGGCTACCTGAAGGAATCCTTCAGGTATAAGGCAGTCTAAACTTCACATAGGGAATCCGTCACGAAAACAGACCAATGCCCTCTTGGCTTTGAACAGGAATTAAATGAAACTGGTGGTGAACCTTCGACAAGCATAGCCACTTAGAAAAGCTCCCCAACACGATCGGATATCTGAAAGATCCTGTTTGCAGATGCTGACTTGCGGTCACAAGAATTGTGGGTGCACAATGGGCCCGAAAGGGTGACTCAAGTGCGTAAAGTCCAGAACCGCCCTCACACACACATTACATCACAATACATCACAATGCATTTCTGAATTCAAATCAAATGAGATTCAAATTATTAAAGTTGAATCATCTCGAGTATTTTTAACATCCCAGAAATGGAATTGAACCAAGAAGAGATGATCCTCTTCATTATTATTATTATTTTTTCGTACCAAACGTGTTTATGAAGAATTTATTTGTTCAAATCATGCCTTAAAACCTTCTCCAAACCAAACACCAATCAGCGAGAAAATCTTAGTTCTACAATGATTTTGTTCGAAACTGTTGCCAAGAGATTTCGGTGTTTCTGACTCCACAGTTAAAATTCAATCATCGAAAATCGAGCTATCCTAGTGAAATCGCACATCATTTGTGAAAACACCATAGAGAAATCAGAGGAAACACACTATACGGCAGACTAAGAAGGAATCTTTTGTGCTCCCCAAGGACACAAGATCTGTTTAGCCTGTAGCCAGAGTTCTCACGAACCACTCCTACCTCTTCATTTCTTCCACAAATGAAAAAATATCATTACACTGCTCTTGATGTGGAAGGAAAAGGTACCTCGTTTTCGATTAACAACAATCTTGGTCAGTGCAAATATCCTTTCATGGTCACCAATCCATTCACAGTGCCAACCTACTTCGATCATTTCAGAAAAAAAGTAATAATTACCATGGCTGGAAGAATTATACCCTCAGTCTATCTATGTATTTCGAAATTTGGCATCTGTCAGTTTATCTTGGTGGAAGCATGTTGTCAAGATAGCTAGGGTCTCTTCTTAGAAGTTTAGATTACTTCATTGTGCCAAGAGTTATTTGCACCTCACATTAGCTTTTCGAACTGTACAGAGAATGCTCAAATTCGACTGGGTACCTCTAGGTGTGCATGTCTGGAGATCAGCTTTATGATACTTCCTGAGATTGCTTATGGAGTCGATTGAAAGGAGAGCTATCCGTCTCATAGCACTAAAAACCTTGCAACATCGGAGAAACCAGACCTTTCATCAGTACTACCATGGATGATGCTCTTCCAAATTATCCTCAACTATCTCTCAGGAATTACACTTGTTCGCCAAACACGGATGGTCCTTAATGAAATACCTAGAACATCGTGTTCCATGATCTCTCTTACCGTGAAACTTCGTCACCCTTGAAACTTTCTACCCACAGATGTCTCACTAGAAAATTCAATCTTGACACTTGTAGAGTATTCTCGCACTTTCGCGACAGGATCAATGATTCAACATTTTGGTATAATATAAAACTGCAATGCTCCTTCGGCAAATTAATGACATATTCAGTTAACTTGAAAATTCAATTAGTTATATCAATTATTCTTACAAGTATGTAATAGTAGTAGCTCAAAGTTTTTCCGGAGCAATAAAAATAAAGCCGAGCATGATTTTCCTCTGATATGAATTTAATTAAAAAATGGGGTGATTTGTACCAGGAAGATTCACTACCCTTTCAGGGTGGACACTATGGAATGGAGTGATTAATAAAGAGATAGGAAATTGTCTGAACAATAACCGGGATGCGATTTTCCTAAATATACTGCACGCTAGCACAAACCACGCCCACCATAATACGTCATATCTCATACTGTGCTCCAACGCAAGAACTGAAGCTTTCTCGTTGTCAATCTCTTGTACGCAGTAAATTCATACACCCAAATGGTCTACTGGTTAGCGCTGTCGACTCTCAGTCTGATGGTTCATGGTTCGAATCGCTGTGAACTCGGAACTTTTTTTTGCAACTTTGTTTTTTCACCAATGTTTTTTTACTTCATTCTGGTTTTCCTTTTTCATAAAATATTTGAAGTCAAATAGGTTAGTGCGTTTAGGATAAACAGTCTCATTTTATTCAATTTTGTTGAAGAACTCAACTTTTGAAATATATTATTAATCAATGTGTTTCTACACTCCATTCGGTTTTCCTTCCTCAAAAATATTGCAATCAGGGATAGGTTAGTTCGTTGAGGATAAATAGTCTCTGAGTTTTGCCTAAGTAAAGTACTTTGAAGATGAGATATAACGTGGTATGTGCTACTTTTTCAATCGATTTATTTATATGAATCAGCTACGTTGTGCTGTCAAAGATTAGATTTTGCAGGATTGTGCTAGGCTCGATTATATTTTGCAATGCCGTAGTAGGGGGCGTGTCTTGTGCTGCAATAGTTTATATTTAGTAAAATCGCAACCGGGATATTCAGTTGAGGGCGAGATGAACTTGAAGCAAGATTATTAGCGCAGATATAGACGCAATTGAAGAACTGTTGGTAGAGAACAGAATCACTGTGTAATCCGGTGAACCTTGAAGTTTGAAAATTTGGAGAAAAATAAGCAGACATATCGCTTTGCTAGAACAATGTTTGTTTCATTGTTTTGTTCGGGTTTATATTCGCCTTATTTGATGAGCTTTGAGGAAAAAATGTTCTTTCTCTTTCACAGTTGTTCTATTAACAATACATTCGAAGGATAACTTAAGAAAAGGAAGTGAAAGACGAATTATCAAATTTTCCTGAAATATTCATGCAATACAAGGTATATTCGAAAATGAGAAATGACGTTAAGTGATTTGAATTCCAGAAAAATATAGAATAATACAAGGACGTATTCAACAAAATAAGGAATAACTCATACCAGAAACAAAAAAGTAATTTCAATACTCAGATAACTTCGATTGAAAACCGAGACATTTTCGTAATGTATTTTTGATCTATACATATCATTAGTACCTATATGTATAATGATTACTTATTTTGTAAAATTAATTCAAACAGAGCATGCATGCAATCTATAAGTATTGCAATTCCGCAATATAATTATTAAATATGAACTTGTAGGTTCTTTCAGAAAAGAGTCGATTAGAAATATATCGTATTTGTTACTTCTTTTAATATAAATCTCAAAGTGACACAACACTCAATAACAACCATAATTGTTTTTTCATCAAACATAGACTACTCAACATGAATACAGGGTGACCACTTAGACCTATACATAACACTCCTCCCTTTTACTTCGTAGAATATCCCCAGTGTATATATTCATTCAAATAAGGGGGTGGTTTCCGTACTCTAGTAGATCTATGAGGTATATCCGGCTCACTTTCACCAGAAATCTGCTCTGTTTCGTCATTTCGAATCATTTCCGCCGTTGCATTGTCGTATACTTCTCCTCCATCCTGGGAATCATTTGTATCTGCTGAAGTAGATGAACTGCTATTTTCTTCTCGCCGCCTTCTTATTTGATCCACATGCCTATGCAGTACCTGCCCCTCGGGAGTCTCTAATCTATATGATACTGGACCTAGAGGTGCTTGTATGAATGCTGGACTCCATTTTGGTCCATTGCCATAATTTCGAGCATACACAGGATCTGTCGTTCGAAATTGTCTCGATGTTTCTGTTGTTTCATTATTTCTTGTTTGTTTTGTGCACGATTCCAAAAATGTTGGGTGCAAGGAATTTAGTCTCGATCGCAGTTTTCTGTTCATCAACATCTCTGCTGGACTATTTCCTGTACTTGAAACTGGTGTGATATGCTGCTGCATGAGGAATCTAGCTACCTTCGTCTTCATATCACCATCACTCATCATTTTCAGAAAATGTTTGGTCGTCTGTACCATCCTTTCCGCTTGACCATTAGATGCTGGGTGATACGGAGCTATTCTGGCATGTCGTATCAAATTATTCGTCAGGAATTTTTGAAATTCTACAGATGTAAAAGCAGTAGCATTGTCAGAGACTATAACCATCGGGATTCCATGAGTAGCGAATAATTCTCTGAGTACCGATATCGCCGACTGAGAAGAAGTAGAGGATACTACTCGCACTTCCAGCCATTTAGAAAAAGAGTCGACCACTATGAAGAAATAATATCCTTGTGTGGGTCCAGCAAAATCAATATGTAGTCTAATCCAAGGTTCGTTGGTCTCTTCCCATGGATGAATTTGCGCTCTAGGTGGCATATTTCGGTTTTCTTGACAGACTGAACATGAACTAACCAAACGTTCGATATCAGCGTCTAGTCCAGGCCACCATACATGTGATCTAGCAAGGGCTTTCATACGTACGATTCCTGGATGTGTTGCATGCAAAATTTGCAATACTTGTATTCTTTCGTCCGGTGTGATGATTACTCGACTACCCCACAAGAGACATCCATTATAAACTGATAGTTCATTTCTTTTATGCCAAAACTGTTGTAATTCTTTCGGTAATTCATTTTTGTCTTCTGGCCAGCCCTTTTGTGTCCAGAACAGAACGTTTGCTAGTGTTTCATCTTCTCTTGTTTTATATGCTATTTCTTCAGCTGTGAATGATTTTTCAGGTACTGATTCTAACATCATCACTTCCCGAAGCGGAGGACATTCTACTTCACAGCCTTTTAGCGGTAAGCGGCTCAAAGCATCTGCGTGAGGTATCTGGGTACCTGGGACGTATACCAACTCGTAATCGTATGACGATAAAATCAAAATCCAACGCAGCATTCGAGGAGGTATCACTTCTGGGATCGATTTATTACTTCCAAAAATCCCCAGTAGTGGTTTATGGTCAGTTCTTATCAACACTTTTCTTCCATAGATATAATTGTGGAATTTCTTGATGCCGACTATCAGTGCCAATGCCTCTTTGTCCAACTGTGCAAACCGTCTTTCTGAACTCGAAAGTGTTCTGCTATGGAAGGCGATTGGAACCTCTTTACCTGAATCATCCAAATGGCTCAGAACAGCTCCTACTCCATAAGGACTGGCATCACATGTTAAAACCAAGTCTCTATTTTCGTCATAATGAGCTAAATTTTTGGACGATGACAACATATTTTTTAGTTTGTCGAATGCTCCCTGTTCTTCTCCACCCCATTTCCAAGCCGCATTTTCATGAAGTAATTTATGAAGTGGTTCAGCAACGGTCGCTTTATTTTTCAAAAATAAATGAAAGAAATTCAACATTCCCAGGAATGCTTGGAGTTCTTGCCTGGAAGTCGGTGCTGGCGCTTCTTCAATGGCTTTAACTTTTTCACTTGTTGGACTGATTCCTTCTTGTTTGATCATAAAACCCAGGAACTTGACTTGGTGTACGAAAAATTCACATTTATCTGAACGGAGGCGTAATCCATCCTCTTTGAAGCGTTTAAGTACAGCTCTCAATTTGACTTCTAAATCTTCTATTGATTCACCAACAATCAGGACATCGTCGAAATATGGTAAGACCCCTTTGATTCCAGCTAGCCTGCTATCCATGAACCGTTGGAAAATTTGCGGTGCAGTTGATATTCCGAACTGTAGGCGTTTCACGCGAAATGCCCCTTTGTGCGTTATAAGTGTTTGGGCATCAGCACTAGAATCATCCACTTTCAGCTGCTGATACGCTTGTTTCATATCCAATCTTGCGAAAATCTTTCCACCTGCTAGAGTGGCCAAAACCTGATTAACTGAGGGGACTGGATAAACATCTTTCAACAATGCTTTATTAATGGTCACTCTGTAGTCACCGCAGATACGAATACTATTGTCAGATTTCATAACAGGTACAATTGGAGTGGCCCAGCGGCAGTGTTCCACTGGTTCCAGAATGTCTTGATCAACCAATTTCTTGAGTTCTGTCTCCACCAATGGCTTCATTGAAAAGGGCAAATTTCTTACTTTCGATAGAATAGGTTTGAATTTTGGATCTATATTTAATGAAATCGGTGGGCCTCTGAATTCCCCTAAGTTCTCATCGAAAACTTCTTGAAATTCTGACAAAATTTGATTGATTTTGTCTTCTATCGAACTACTGATTGCATTGATGCCACAGAAGGAAATGTTCAATGGTTCAAACCAGTTTCTTCCAAGTAAATTTGCTGTGTTTTTACTTGCAATGACTAACGGTAGTTTTATCTTATTTTTCCCAAATTCCACTGATACATCGCATAGGCCTTTTATATCAATTTTATTGCGTTGGTAATCCCTCAGTATAAAATCTGTTTTTTTCAACTCCGGTTCTATTCCTGCAAATATTTCCTTGAAAGATTCTATACCGATCATCGAGTAAGCAGCACCACTGTCAATATCCATCACCGTTGATTTCTTGTTGATATTAACATTGACTTTAAACTCTTCTATTTTGAACACAGGAAATTCTTGACTTACTGTATAAATACAAGGCTCATAAATGTCATTCTGATAGTTCGTGACTTCTTCTTGACATTCGGCGTCAACAGACTTCTGGTTGAATTGCTTTCTTGTGAAACCGAATTGCCTCTTCTTAGATAAACATGCCCGCTCTATGTGACCCACCTTCTTGCAGAAATTACATTTGGCGTTAACGAAATCACAGTTTTCAGGTAGGTGTTGATTGTTACAACGGAAACATGCTTTCACGAATGATCTTGTTGTATCTTGCATTCTTTTATGTGGTTCAAATCTTTTCACTTGATTAGTAGAGTTCGATGAATTGTCGCCTTCTTTAAGAATACTAACATTTCGGATTGCAGCTTCGTGTGCTAAAGCTATATCCTCTGCTTTCTTGAATTGTAAATCGGATTCGGAGAGTAATCGATGTTGGAGATTTTTATCTTTAACACCACACACCAATCTGTCCCTTAACATTTCATTCAATATTTCGTTCTTAAAGTCACAGTATGTGGCTAAACGTCTGAGTTCAGCAATATAGTTCGCGATATTTTCATCAGCAAACTGATCTCTTCGGTGAAAATGAAACCTGCCTACCATTGTAGATTTCTTTGGATTGAAATGTTCAGATAATTTTTTGATCATGTCTTCAAATGGAATTGCACTCACTGCTGCTGGAGCGACTAATGAATGTATTATATCATATGTGGACGGTCCACATACGGTAAGAAATACAGCTTTCTTCTTATTTTCTTCGATTATATCATTTGCTTGCATATAGAATTTCAGCCTCTCGATATAATTCAACCATTTGTTAGGTTCGCTGGGATTGAAGTGTTCAATTGAACCGATGGCCGACATTTCTGATTATTATGTATATCTAATCTTTTCTGCTCCGACTGCGCCAATATTAAATATGAACTTGTAGGTTCTTTCAGAAAAGAGTCGATTAGAAATATATCGTATTTGTTACTTCTTTTAATATAAATCTCAAAGTGACACAACACTCAATAACAACCATAATTGTTTTTTCATCAAACATAGACTACTCAACATGAATACAGGGTGACCACTTAGACCTATACATAACAATAATCCACCCCCGAATGTCTTTCAGGGGTCTTATGACTTTAAATGACAATTTTCATGTAATCAATTGACAATGTCTCAAATCAACAACACAGTGCGATTAAATGAAACAACATATTACACCGTAACAATAAGTTTATTTGGATAACTTGAGATCAATAGTAATATAGGTAATTATAAGGAGACTACACTGCACTGATGAGAGTCAAAGAGCTCGAAACCGGTATGTGGTTGTCTAGCGTAGCCTGGCTAAATCGAAATCAATAGGCGTCTAGGAAAGAATCACTTGTATCAGTATTCGTTCATAGGAGTCGATGCATAGATTTCGGGAGAATTCAATGTTCTGCGTGGCATCATTAGCCAGGAAATAAGTAGTTGTTTTCCTCCTGAAATCTACCATGGTTGTTCATTTTATGATTATAGTGTGGAAATGAGTTTAGGCTTTTTGCATTTATTTAACATTTCATTCCACTTTGAGCATTGTGGCTATTTCGTAGTTTATTGATTGATTTATTTTTTTCTACAGAAGGAAAGATGTAATAGTTATAATGATAAAAATGTCAATTCACAATATTCAGTAAGTATTTGAAAGCCCAAATGGATTCCATGTCTATTCATTGATTGCCCTTGTAGCTAACCTAATATAATTTGGACACTATATTTGCCTTTGTTCAAGAATCAGAATGGCATAATATATCACTTTGTATTTTATATATTCCAAGAGATAGGCACGAATGAATATTCATCTTCTTCCCAATGAACACATTGTATTAATTCTTGTCCAGTCATGAGATTATTTCAAAATTCAAATCACATATCATTCAATAATTTGAGGCATGTCTGAGTATGAAAGGTAGGTGGTCTGGATATTTTTGGTCCGAAACTGAAATGATCTAGTCCTCAATGGGGAAATCAATTGTGTGTAACCACCGGACATTATACAAGTCCACGGATATCATGCATATCTATAACTTACATGTAGAAAAGTTTTGTACTCTACAAATCATTGAATATGAAATGATCTTTTCTCCAAACGTCAAAGAATGATGACATTTCGTTGCTCAGCACACCGACAGTATTCACCAAACTTTCATTTATACATCTGATGGGTGACAGTGGGAAAAATAGTTTGGATTCGATTTTCTTAGGAAAATCTTTGAACAGTTCATTGAAAAATATAATATACATTTGTAATACTCTTCGAGGGTCCTGTGTAGCCGGATTTGCTCAGCTGGCTTGTCAAATTTGAACGTGCCACAAAAGGTGTCACTTCAATCCCATATACCTACAGAATATAATACATTTATAGTTGAAAATGTTCTCAGTAGTAATATCCCTAGGACATTGATGATAGACCCGAAGCCGAAGTCTGAGGGCTGTTACCAAGCAACGAGCTTGAGTAATTTGTCATAAAATTATGAGGCATTTGTCAATGTCCGAGAGAAAATCGGTGGAAAATAATTTGAAGTTCTCAAAGTCGATAGTGTTGTCATAGTGATTGAAAATTGCACTGAATGCAGTTATCAAAATTCATTTTCAGTAGGGTATTGATAATAGACGAGATAATTTTATGACAATCGAAAGCTCGTTCCTAGGTAACAGCTCGAAGCCGATGGCTGACGGTTATTCGGCGGAAAATAATTCGAAGTTGTCAAAGTAGATCGTGTTGTCATAGTGATTGATAATTGCACTGAATGCAGTTATCTTGATTTATTTTCATTATAATTTCTTTGTTTCAGAATTCCAGTTCTAGTCTATTCGCATGCCCAAGCGGTAAGTCACATGTTATTTATTATCAATAATTATAGATGATCATCCCCAATCACTCCTGACCATTTTCCAAGGTATAGGGGCGAATCCAAGTGATAAACTAGGGTAACCAATTCTTATTCACTTCATACTCAAACAGGAATGTGAGTTTCGATAATTCATATTTTCAAATATGAACAATCGAAATCATGAACTCGATACTTTCATTCTCTTGACTAGAATATATTTGAATTTGAATCAACACATAGTATTATCATGGATCATTATTATCAAAATGCAGGACTTATAACTGACAACTTAATGTATTAACGAGAATAATTTATATCTATTTTGAGTTTCATCTGCGCAGTAACCGTTGTTTGTCTTATTCAGGATGAATATTCATGTTTATGAAAATCGTAAACCTATAAGGTGCTAAATTTGTTCATCTAAATCCACTCCTGATATTGAGGCAATGATTCGTATTTTCGAATAATGCAAAATCCGCGACACCTTCACGCCGCGTACCTTAGCAGGCAGCAATTTCAAAAGATACACAAATACATAATACATAACTGTACTTTCTTAACGGTATCCAGGAATGTCGATGATGTGCGAATTTGCATCTTGTTAATATCGAATACCTATCGTAGATGCTGACAGTCGATAGAAAAATTCAGGTGAACTTACCCAAACCTGAATATATAGGAAATTGATTTCGGCACACGTATATTAAATTTATCATGGAAACAAATTACTACATTTTTTGTACTGTTCTCAAGTCCAACACTTCGCCAGTGTTCCGGAATCTGAACTGAATATAAGTGATTTTGATTATTTTTTGGTGGCCAGAATAAAGGGAGAGGATTTGAGCTTCATGCACTGAATTTCGAGAGCAGAATACAAAGACAGCATGGATCAGGCTACTTTGAAAACGAATGTGTGCTGATTTGGAGTAATGAGATAAGTATACCTCAAAGAACTGAGCAAATGAAGAACAATGAATCAAGCTGATTGTGAGACCTTCTCATTCAATCACACTCTACATTTATACATATCGTTTATCGAATCTTCACATATAGGCAACATCGCAATCACGCTCACCGTTAGCACAGTTTAGACACTTGGGCATACAATGAAAGATATACCAGCCGGATCCAGCGGAGACTAGCCAATACGTATGAAAACCGAATCTCATTGCCATTCACATGCTCCATATGTAACGATTCGGCAACGCAAACAATCTGTATAAGACGTTATGAGTTTTGTCATAGGTAAATGGAGAAAGGATAGGGTCCCAATCGTTTATACCATTTTCCTATTCTGTTAGGAACACTAAGAGGCAGTGGTCCAACTATTTGAATACTCATCTGTTCAGAACTAGAAGCGCTCTTGATATGACCTGAACAGATAAATATCATGATCTGATCAGATGAGGTTAGATAAGATTATGCCTACAAACCGCAACCTTCCCAGATATATTAAATTTGCTCTAGAAATCGTTTCGAGTTGTTTGACTAGCCCAGCCTCCTCCATGACATTTTATATGCTAGCTTTAAGAGCCCCTGTGTATCTTAGGGCTCTTGGTTCCTCCTCTCCCAGCGTAAGGAACCCTAGTGTTGATGTGCTCTCACATTGGTATTGCTGTTTCTTTCTCTCCCTGAATAAAATTTCACAGCAGTTCTAGTTGAACTCGCCTATCTCATTCCTGGCGGATTATTCTACCATTTCGGATATCCGTTTTGCATTTATGATTTGATGCTTGTCCTTTGTATAGTTTTTGCAAGACCACGAAAGAGTTCTGCGCCATTCACAGCTCTATTTGCCCCTGCTCGGGCCAGTCTATCTACCACTTCGTTGCCCTCATACCCTGTATGTGCTGGTACTCATGCTAGAGTCATTCAATTCCGACAACCCAGTTCATTCAGCGATTCTAAACAGTCCAAGATGAGTGAAAAATCAACTTGCGAATTGCGATGTTTTTTCTTACATAAGCTCTTACCTTAACAATTATTTCACGCAATGATGTATATAGCGACATTTTCTATCTGAAATTCTGCGCGTATTTACCTGAGCTCAGTGAGATTCTTGAACTATCTATTGGCATTATCCTGATGAGGTCGCTTCCCATTTATTCATACATGTGCCTTGTTATTTGGTACTGTGCAAATTGCTTTGCTTATGGGTGCTTGATCTTCGGATAATCTGCTCACCACTGCTCTGGCTCCGCCTTGATTGTTCATTTGCTGCAGTGGCAAGTTAAAGAGGACTTCTTAGGAGGTTGTTTGAATGCCACTGAGCCTTTGAATCACTATAGCCTGTTTTGTCTTCGGTCATCAAACCACCGCCCTATATTCTGCCCCCAATTTTTCTGCACATTGTTTTGCACACCTTGAATGCTAGTGTACTGCTTTGAATGAATTTTCATAGATGTTGATTCCATGTCAGACTATGTTCAAAGATGACTGCTAGTGTTTTCCCTCTAGAGCGAACGAAATGTCTTCTCCGTTGAGTACTGATCTGCATTCATGCCGTTCTCTTTCTCTCTTGGAATATACTATTATCATAAAGTGGTTTTGTGGGTTTACTGTAAGTTTCTTACCACCTATCTATCATGTTAGTAAGTGAAACAGGACACGCAAATTTTTGTCTGATGATATTTATTACTAACACAATGATCATTCACGGCAGTACAGAATATTTTTCATCTCCTGGATGTTTTCCTGAAAACCACTGTCTCCCGGAGTCTAACCCAAGTATAACGAGGTACCTATGCACACTATTCTCCTTTACACAGGTATTGCACATTGAATTTGATGGGGCATTGTATTGTCGCAATGATCCCAGTATGTTTCTACTCGGTTGCAGATGTGAGTATTCCATAGCTTTCTGCTCCTCAATGCTAGGAATGATCTGATCTGAATAATGTTCGTCCACCTCATTACCAGAAGTGTACCACGATTTGCTCACGATATCTAGCGGTTGCTCTCTTGTATGGCCGAAATCACCTGGCTGTTTTTGATGGATAACGGAATTTTGCACTTTCCATCCAGAATAAACTGGAATTTTCGCAGAATATCCGACACAAGCGTCTAGCCACAGCATCACATCGAGGTAATAATCCCGCCTGGCTTTCACTCGCTAGGCCGATTGCAATGCAGTCTATAGAGCATCATTGAAATAGCAAATCACTATCGGCTTCAACAGTAAATGCCTATTTTGTTCTATAGTTCACTTCGTAAAACAAAGTAGGTGGAGTATAGGATTCGACCCCAGGATTTCGATCCATATAGACATACACGTACGCTGCTTCATTGACCATTGCACTAATGGCGAAACAATATACAAAACAAATTTGCACTCATCACTATTCGCATGAGATTATTAGCTCGATGCGGTGCTATAGTATAGACACTTCTATACCCGACGCAGTGTAAATATAGTGTGCATCGATAGCCACTTCCTGTTTCAATCAATCTATGTTTTCTTATTCATATTGAACTCATCAATTATAATTTCATGTTGTAATAATACTTATCTATTACAAGTCCACAATCAGCAAATGAATTGTTGAATGATTTTTTTATTTTATTTTCAATTGCATTTCCTCGTTGGACCCAGCACTGCATCCAACGCCCCATTAGTCGAAACTTGTGCGGAGTTAGGAAAGCATACATTTACACACAACATCCATGGCCTAACTGGGATTCGAACCCATGCCTCGGTGGGAGTCCCCATACGAACTCAGCATCTTCGAGGTCTCGACCACCGGGCCGATTCAAAATCATTATTCATTCGATCAAATATAAAGATTGTTTGCCGAATCATTACGTATAGAGCATGTGAATGGCAACAAAACTAAAATTAATTATGCGCCTTTCTAACGGTGAGCAATGTTCTCCCTGACTGCGATGTTGCCAAATGCAATTCTTTCTCAATCCTCCAGTTATATCTATCGGATAAATAAATTAACAATCTGTATACTATCATAAACATTTCCATAGCATCATGCATGGAGTCATAACTTTAATATAAGGAAGAATTATTAGTTGGAGACAATATAAGGAAGACGTGCCTACATTATAGACTTGCCAAATCGTTTCTGATAAACTTGGTTGAGACCACTCAGCATCGATATATTTGCTAGTGTCATCAGTAAAGTATAGGACAACAGATTATAATCGAGTCAGAAAGAACGGGTATAACATTTATGTATTGAAATTCTTAAACAGTTAACATCACCTTAGCATTCAAGAGGTGTGTTTGGGTTTATGTGAGTCATGTATTCGCCGAACAGGTATACCAAACCGCATTCCATGAATTAATTCATTATTGAACTGGAGACCCACTGAACGCACCAATATGCCCGAAAATGGCCCAATGAAGAGATCAAAGAAATTATGAAACGGTAGTTTGAGATCAATCCTCATGAATGATATAAACGGAACAATGATATGATAGCCTACGTAACATCATTTGGAATTTTGTGCAATTACCTATTATGAATCACTGCAAAAGTTGCCAAGGTGAATAGCTCCATCTCATGAATATATCTATGCAATATTTATAGCGATAACGTATTTCATTAAAGATGCCGAGAAAGAACTTCAGACACGATTTGATAATCCTTACTGAATGAGTCCAAGATGACAAAAAAATGTATTCGTGAAGAACTTTTGCCTCCTCTGTTCTATCGAAGTTTTTCATTATTTTGTGAAAATATGCATCAGTAGGTACCTAGTTATTAGGTAGCAACCAATTATTCTCATTGTTATTATATTAATAAAATTCATAAAAAATGTTCCGTTTCCAGTGTTTAGTCTTTGCGAAGTGACTTGATAGTTGATACAGCTGAATTAATAGAGATTCACCGCGCCAGCCAGTTCCTTTGAGACGTTCAAACATCAGACCGCGTGCCGCCGACGATGATTTTTGCTGAATTTGTATCAAGTGACTTTGCAATTACTATAAACAACGTCGATTTTCTGAAAAGAATGAACGATTTAAAAGAATTAAATATGAAT